CGGCCCGATGGCGCCCGGCGGGAGGGCGGGGGCGGCTCGGGCCCGCCTTGGCCGCGCGTTCAGATCGCCCAGAGAGGCCCTGGTTATTTTTACAGGAGTGTTTGGGATTTTGGCAAATAAAGGTGAATGCCTGGAGATTTCCAGGCAGAGCTTTCTCGCTGGGGCAGGGTTCCCGCTTGCCCCTGCAGGGCCTGCTGCGGGCCCCGGCGCCCTTGGATTAAAGGCCGCGGCCCCAGAGTATGTGGTGCCCGGGTAGTGGCTGGGCACGCTTAGGGAATTACCACGGCTAAAGGAAACTCTCACCGTGCGATTGACTTCGAGTCTCGGCCACCAAACTTTTTTTCTTTTTTTTAAAACAAATACACTACATTTTGTATGCAGTATTTTGTGCTGCACTTGCATTACAAAAGGCAGTAAATAGCAATAAAAGCATTTTTAAACTACTTTAAACAAAGTATTAGTTGTGTGCGACATAATTCAGAAATTTTGAAATAATTTTGAAATGTTATTTTTTTGAAGGGAAATCATTGTACTTGAACAGTATAATGTTAGTAATGTCTATTTTTCAGTTTGTTGACAAGAATAAGACAGAGAAGAGTTTCCTAGGAATGCAAGAAGCTGTTTAGTCTACTGGTTTATTAGAATGTCCACTGGTAATAGTTATCAGCTTGCAGCATTTTTGCTGTCTCATCTGGAGGGGAATTCTAGCCAGGGAATTTGGGAAGTGTGTGCAATTTATTTTAGTGTTTGTAATACTTTTGCAAGTTGTGTGCTGCTCATTAAAGAAGAAAAAAATGAGAAATGAACCAAAAATAACAGTGTAGAAATGTTCCAGAATGTAGTAGTTTTAATTTTCTTAGCATTAAACTAAGGCTTCAGGGAAGTGATGCATGCTTTCTGGTAGAAGTGATTTAGTGTTAGAAATATGAGATAAAACTGAGTTTGTGTGGGAGAGAAATAGATGGAAGTTTAACTGGAGAACATTTCTTGTAAATTAGGACAACTGACCAGAACAGCAGCAAGAATCTACTTCTGGTGGTTGTGGTTCTGCTGAAATACTGAGTTTTTTTCTTTAAAGTCACAGGAAAAACATTCTAATTAATTAGATTTATTTACAACAACTGGGTTTGGGATTGAAATAATTGCCTTGAGACTGAGTGCAGCTGCAACACACATTCCAGATGTGAAATGTAACACTGTGTTGTGGCCGACTTAATTTTCTTATTTTAAAACCAGGATTCATCAGAATTAGTCACTGAATAAGTTACTATTGTCCTCTGAATTAATCCAATGCAGAGGTGCTGTCACATTTCCTCAAGCAATCAGATGTGTTTTGGGAATAGGTAGGGAAATAGCTTCCTGCCAGATGAAAGGTCACCCTGAGAAAGATCATTCACTTGGGTCTGGGAAGTAGGAAACTCCTACCTCCTGGGGCATGCATGTTCACTAGATTTAGTTTGCATTGCCGTTTGAAGCTCAAATCAGCAACAAGTTACCATCACACTCCTCACATGGATCATGCTGTGATCTTCAGATGAGGGAGTTCCCTTAGGTGGTTTTAAATATTAACTTTCTGGCAACAGCCCAGACTAGGTTGTAGGTATTTTACATTACTAAGCGATGGACCAAATTCCATCCCAAGATAGACAAGGATGTTATGCAAAGGAATGGCAGTGTTTATCCTTGAATAAACAAGCCTCTTAATTTGCTCCTTCATGTTTCAGAAAGGACATACTGGGGACAACATAGGAAACAGCATACAATAGTGGCACACTTGTAGAAAAATTATCTCCTAGTAGAAGAAAGTATGAAGTATCATTGTTTTGTGTGAGATATGGTACACTTGTCTTGTATTCATTTTTCCGTTATAAATACATTTATTATGGGAAATTTAGAGATAGAACTCAATGCTCTTCATGTAATGTTTTTGCATCTATAGATAGAGATTAAGGGCATGGGTATTCAAAACACTGGAATTAGAGTTTACCTGACAGTGACACCAGAGAGTTAGGGTGGTTCCTGTGTCCTCTGTGTCTCTGCTTAGTCTATGTCTGTGCTGCGAGCTGTGTGAGTACCTGTTTTTCTCAGCCAAAAAAATAAAATTAACAACAGACCAAGGACCTTCACATCACTGTACAGTAAACTTAGCCCAGTAGCCTGCATGTCACTATGGCACTGCAGCAGTAATGCTCAGAGAAAACACAAGAACAGTGAACAAAGAATGTGGACAGTGATCTCTCTGACCCTGCTTCCTGAGTCAGAAGTTGAATTAAAGCTACTGTTTTGTTAAAAATTTTATTAATTTTTACCACTGGACCAGCCTTCACTGAATTTCTATGACTTTTTGACTTTTTGGCCTGCACAGAAGCCTGTGACAATATAATTATGCACTGTGTGAAGAAATACCTGCTCTCTCCTCCTAATTTGACACCTAATAATTTCAGTGGGTGCCCTGTACGTTTTGTGTGGTGTGACACTGTGAATAGTCATTACCTCGTCACCTCTTCAGCACCATTCATTGTTTGTAGCCTTATTCATTTGTCTTTTTCCTACCTAGAAACTCCTCATCCATTTGGTTTTCTCTTATACAGGAACTATATTTGCTGTCTTGGATCATCTTCACTGCTATCTTCTCTGCTTTCCGACTTCTACCCTCCCTGAGGTGAAAGGACCAGATTGCATACAGAGACTTACCCAGCATGGACAGGTTTTTGTCAAAATAAACCATGAGAATAGATTATAACATTGTTTTGATTTGTTTCTGAACAGATCTGATAAAACCAAGCCACAGAGTGGGATAAATGGTAGTGATGTCCTTTATGTATACATCAGTTGTCACAAAAGGAAACAAATCTGAGTTTGGATCCTTTCTGCCTACCTTTGAGAAGAAAACTGAACTAGTGCCTGAGCTACAGATTGATCAGGACAGTCTCTCTTTGTTTTGCTGCACTGGTTTTGCTCAGAGCTCTTTCAAAGCCACTGGAGTAGGAGCTGAACCCCAACCACTTTGCTTCCCAAGTGTGTGCCTTTATCACTTGTTTAGGGAAATAGTTCCTTGCTTATGTTCTTCTCTGCATGCCTTTGCTATGAACACCCATTATAGCCATCAGTTTATTTCCTTGAAGAAGTTTGAGCTGATGTCCTCCAGGACACAAGAGTTCAGAATCCTGATGACTCAGGGCTGTTTTATGAAACAAACAACTGCAGTTGCTGAGGGTGCAGTTGCTAGTTACTGAGCTGGTATTACACCTACCTAAGCAGTGCAAGAAGTGGCTGCTCAGGAACAGCATATCTTTGTGGTGGAATGGTCGTGGTCCTTGCCTCACTGTGACTATTCAGACAAATTTATTTGGAAATTGAAGAGGCATGGCTAGAGCTCAGCTCATCTACTCACTTATTCCTACTAGCAGAGGTGCTTTCAATGATCAGAGAAAGGACAGATTTTTTTTAGGCAATACTTAGGCAATAGTGGGCCTGTCAGCTTAAAACTTCATCTTTAAAACTAAAGATGTAATTTCTTCTGAGTATGGAGTCCAGGATTTCTGGTCCAAGTAACACACAGCTTCTGTGATATATCTGGCCTCACTGTGAAGCCCTACCCATCCTTCTCCCTTATCTCCCTGATCTTCTAGGTTTTTGAAAACAGAGCCAGAAAAATCCCTTGCAGCAAGGAAGAATAAACACCTTTTAACCTATAGCTAAGAAAAAAAGAAAAGAGAAAAGGAATGTGGCCTATTTAGAGTGTACGAGCATTTTAGATAGGTGTAATTAGAGATAGCATTGTTGGCCTTCATTAATCTTAATTAGATATGGATTGGTAGGCAGCTTTCACTCTGGTCAGTACCTTTTCCCCATGGCTCTTCCTGCTCTGGAAGTATCCAGTAGCAACACTCAGTGCTGCTTTCTGGCCTTTTTCAGGCCTGGAGGTTTTCACAAGATGAACGTGTTTGATTGCAGTCCACCTCATTAACAAGGAGCTGTTTCTGTATTGGCATGCCTGGATGATCACTCTAACCAGCATGGAAGGTGTTAGATCTTCCAGTTGCAGTTTTATGTGTCCTCACAGCAGTCTTTACTAACAACAAACACAAGTCAGTGTTTGCAGCCTGAAAAATGGGAGAAATAAAATCACTTGTTTGCAGTTTTCTTTCTGCTTCAGGAAAAGGTTTTTGTTTGTGTCTAAAAATACAACCTTGTCTGCAAGCCCAACCAGCAATGCATTATCACGGGTTGTCTGGGGACACAGCACTTGCCTTGTACATGACTCAGGGTTCATCTGCAATGCCAGAGGAACTAGCTGAGGTTTGCACATCACCCTGACACATACCCTCTGGACATAGTGACTCATATCTTTGCATCTGCTCTATCATCCCTAACTTGGCAGATGAATCTATACCATGTTGCAACATGTATGTTACTCTTTTCCTCTCCTAAGAAAATCCTTGGCAAAACAGAAGGTTCTAGATGGTGTATAGGTCAGCAGTGTGAGCTGGTCTGACAATAGTGCTCTGTAGAAATACCAGAAAGTCAGGAGCTGAACTAATGGCAGTTGTGCCTTATCTCCTTTTCCATTATTAATAAAAGGCCCAGGCTCTGCTGGTCTGGGCATTTAAAATGTATTCCTTCCCACCTAATCCATTTCAAATAGTTGTTGAGAAACTGAAACAAGAGCACTTCAGGTATAAGGTTGATAGCCCAGGCACAGCTGTGTCAGAATCAGGTTGCCAGCTACTGTATGCTGGTTTTCAACCTCCGAAAGTGTTTCCTCTTATTGCAGGTACATGATAAGATTGGTCCTAGTGAAATTTGGAGCTTGATGTAAATGTCTCATAGGAGTAGAGCTGGTGTGGGTTCCTGCTGTGACAGAGGAGGAAGGACTTGCAGAACAGGTCAAATAGTTGAATCTCTCTTTGAATATGCCTACTTTTCTCCCTATTGATTGTTTTTTTTAGCAAAGGAAGCCATGTTCCTGATTTAGTTGCCCTGGTGAGCTGTTGCAGTGAGCTCTGTGCTGAAGTGAGCACTGAGGTACGCACTGAAAGCACTCATACCAATGTAGCATTTAAACAGAAAGAAAAGGAAATAAAGCAGTAACCATTCTAAGATACAGATTGATTTGCCTACCTAGTGGGCCAGCATTGAATGCTTTGTAACTGATGAAATAAGTGATAAAGTATTGCCCTATGCAGAATAAAAAAAATAAAATACTCTTGTGATAGATAATATAGCTTATTTTACAGCTGATACAGTGACATGAAACAGGCCATGAAAATCTGACACTTAGATGAACCCCAGAGCTAGAGCAAGGGGAAAGAGAGGGATTGAGAAGAGAGGGAAGGAGCAAAGCAGAAAGGAAGTAACATGGCAAGTAGAGAGAAAAAAGCTTTTCAGCTTTCAACAGTGTTGAGACATTGATTCATTCAGGTTGTTCATATGATGAAACCATCCTACAAGAATTGTGCCTGAGATGTCTTTACTTTCTGTCTGAGCTTATGATAAACATTTACATGAGATTTTTTTCCCCCGCAAAGTAAAGAGAATAGAGAACAGAATTTTTATTGATCTAGAAAGTCAAACTACAATCATTAAAAACTTTGTAGAAGTTTAAAGTCTACACTTATCTATCTTATTCTATTTTTTTTTTCTGGGCAGACATAATAGCTCTTTTCCTGTATTTTTTTGTGAATTTTGTAATTTTGAAAATAAAATACAGCAGTTTGAAAAAAATCAGGATATTGTAATGCATAGACAAAGTCTTTCCAGGTGGAGAAAAAGTGATATCCTAATCCTTTCTGTCTCTGGTATTTCTTAGCCAAAGTTATTTTGTTTTACCAAGGGTATTTTCCCACAGCTGTAATCCCTATATGTATGTGTGTGTATATGGTAAGTAGTAGAGGAAAGGATTATAAGCTTCTCTGAACACATTACAGAAGAAAGCAGGTGGTAGTTGTTTACCTGACAATAGTGCATCCAATACTGGAAATGCCACAGCAGAGACATGGCAGGAACATTGTTACTGTGAAGCTTTCAATTTGTTCACTGGGAACAAATGATACTTAAGGTTAGGAAAGACCTCACAGTATCAGTTCAACTGCTAGTTTTAAATAAAATTAAGCTGTGGGGAAGGAAGAATGTTCTTGACCACAAGATCAGGGCTGTTGTGCTCTAGAAAGTCTCTTTCTCCATTCCCTCATGCTGGGACTTGTATTAAGACCTGATGTAGGTCTTATTGACCTGATGTAAGGATTGTATTTCTGAAGTGACTAAAAATCCTGATGTAAATAAGTCAGTGAAAATGGAATACAAGCAGACTATATGAAAGGAAAATACAGTCAGCCTGGGAACCAATAGCATCTGTATCACATATAGCCTGATAATAACATTACCTGTGGGATAGTTACATGTATGAGTATTCCTTTACACCAGTAATTCAACTACTGTCTTGTAGCAATGTAATTACCCTGCTTTCTCTTTGAAGGCTGGCTGTGGTTTCAGTTAATTTCCATTCAAAAGAAATCTAATTGTTTTAAATAATAAAAAAGGCCTTCTCCAGGTCTTAACAGGTCATTTTAGCCGATCTCTGCTAGGCCAGTACTGATCTGGGAATTGTGAACAAATTTGATTCTCCTAGAAAGAGCCAAACAGACAACTTAAGTCTTTCTGTCTGATCTACAGAAGCAGAGCAACTTTCCACAGGCAGCTATGCAGATACTCACAGTCAGATATTGTTTTGTGGGAGAGCAAAACATTCCAAGCTGCCTGTGTTCAGCTTTCTTTCACAGGTGTTTGTTGTAGTTCCGCGTTTGCCTGAACACTTGGAAAATGGTGGTGGGTAACAACATCCTGCCATCAGCTGATAGTAAACTGATGGCAGCTTAGGTTGGAGACAAAATCTCTGCCTTCCATTAACAGGTTGCTGAACACCTAAACATAATTTATGGGCTTCTTCTCTCAAAAATGCCTACAGCTCCAGTAATGAGGATATGAACAATCCAACTCAATGTGCTTTTGGATGGTGTGCAGCCAAGAAGATCTCAGAAAGAAATGTGCTTTCTGCACTGATTAGGAAAATATATTGAATACCTGGGTGCATGTTCAGAGAAGATTGCATTCTCGAAGCAGAAGGGTCTGTGCAAAAATTGCTAATGTAAAATATGGGGAATGTGAATGTCCAGACTGGAAAATGGCTATATGCAAAAGCTGCAAATCTTTTTAACTAAGTTGAGCCAAGCAGAAACTGATGTTGAGTCTAACCTAATACCCTATCATACTGCTGTGAATCTCTGTCACCCATCTGGACATGCCCTGTCCTCCCTCCCAGCTGAAGAGGGACATAGGAAAGTAAACACCTTACAGAAACTTTTAGATAGCTGAAGTTAGGTGATATGAATTAGGACTACATTCCAGGAAATTACTGCTGTTATGAATAGCTTGGATTCTGACATTTCCCACAAATTCTGTAGCACTTTCAAGAAATTTCTTGGGTGCAAACAGAAAGAGTCCCTAGATACCCAGATTGCATCAAAATAATTTATACACTGGCTGCACAGAATGCTGAACTCTCTAGAAATCAGAGAAGAGCTAAAAAGCTCAGTTTCTTGTAGTGTAACATTTCCAGGTGAAAAAATAAGGCATGTCCACTGAGACTTGATAACCTTAATTGCTCAACAGTTTGGGCTCTTCTTACTGCAATCTCTCTGTTCCCTTAACAAGATTTTTCACATTTGTGAAGGTGTCACAAGC